AGCAGGTCTTAGCATCGCTGACCTCACAACATGACATTATGTTGGTCTCTTTATGGTTTGGCTCTGGGAAAACACCAGTGCTGCTTAAGAACTACCCTCAGTGACCTGCAGAATCCTACTGGGAATAAAAAGTTCAACTTTCCTGTTACCATGAAAAACTAGTTGCGTTTTCCTGCCAACCCCTTGAACCACAGTGTTCCCTATTATATTAAAACAACTTGTTCCAACAGACACTAAAGGATGCAAAGGTATCCATATAGCTATGAAATGAAATTCAATGCTATGGGTTAAGACATGTCATAGTTGTCTAAAAATTTTGGGGAAATTTTTTTTTATTTTATTAAACATAAATTTCATGATAGACCTGGGTCTGCGGGGGTGGAGTTTAATGATGCATTTACAATCTTTTAGTTAGGTAACTTGATGGCGTCTGCTAAATTTTGAGTTATTACTCAGGACTTTAATAAATGATTGTTCTGTTTAAGGAGGTAAAAGATAACTAAAATAAATGAGTGATATAAATAAAGTTGATAAATAATATTTCATTTTTTATATATTTGAGATGCAATTTTAAATACCCATAAACATTTTGATTGATTGAAATTCTACATGTAGGTAGCATGCCTTTGCAGTTTAATGTTGGACCTCACTGCCTGCAATAATATAATAATAATACTGTAGCAGTATAAGTCTCTTTGATTTCATGAGATTTTTTGTTATTCGAGAATTATTTTATTACTGTTATAACTCACTTGACTTTTTCTTTATCGCAGTGAACAAAACTTGCCTACTTTTGTAAATAACTTAAGTTATCTGATATGCTTTGCCTCTAGGAGGGTCGTGCACTGTTTATTCATGAGTTGGCATCAACATAGAGACGTAGAATAATGAGCAAAAACAGTAAAATTGAAGCTTTGTGAAGGACATAGATGACAAGGATGATTCTTATTCTCATTTGGTAGGGAATAACAGTGTTCTAACACTGCTTACAACGCCCTGTATATTACCAAGAGATCAATAGCACTTGAGGCGAATGTCATTATGGTTATTAGGACTGCTTGTCTGTATGCTGATGAGGCACGAGGACATTATGCAGAGTGGTGTGGGAGCTCGTGCATATGTGTGTGAGTACATGAGTGTACTTGTAAGCATATCTACTTCTATTTCCACTGTTGCTATAAGGTGTATTATGCATGTGTGATATGTGTGCAGAATACTCATGATAAGTGGTATACCACTGATGAATGCTGAAGTTTCAGTCAGGTGCAGTTTCAAGGTGAGAAGGAGAGAAAGTGATGGAGAGGGGAGAGGGAAAGGTGAGCAGAGAGATAAGGGAAACACAGACAGTGAGAATAACTTACAGAAGGATAGACAAAGTCAGCAAATGGTTGTTACAGCATACACAGCTAAATGTAGCTAAATGTGCAATCACACCTCTCTGATCCATCATATGTTGTTATATCATCCCCAGTTACCCTACATTCCAACCAGTTTGAGTTAAAGGATGAGGATGAAATATTCTATATTTTTCTTATTGTCAACAAATCCCATAAAAAAAAAAAAAATGACAAAAGCCTACAATGAAATGATCCTGCTAACAAGAGCTGCCTGCCTCTATGTCATAGGCTGTTGTCCAAAAACAATTAAAACACATCAGTGAGCCACATCGTCACACAGTCCACGGCTGAACATAGTCCCCGACAAATGCCCTATTTGTTCCTCTTTAAGTAATATTAAGTGAAACAACTACAGCTGTTTTTGGAAATTACTTTGCTATCTTTGCAAATTAAAGCATATATTTGTAGTTATCAAAGATTCCCATTATCAGTGGAAACAAATGAGTCTGGGCTGAGTGCCACGGACAGGGAAGGGAATTCTAACTAAACTGTCGAAAGAGACAATACTGCGTTGTTGGGCTTTGAACAGAATTTGTTTACAATATGCAACGTTTAGAATAACCTTTAAGTGAGTGATAAAACATGCTGATAAATGACAATAATAGCCAAGGAGAAGTCCTACATCAGGACACCTTGGGATGTATGTATGTGTTCTTATGCATACACTACACTACACAAAATAAATAAATAAACAATCAATTATCAAAGTTTGTTTGTAGTCAGAGGTAAGGTCCTTGTCAGTGAGCTTTAGTATGTGATGGTGTTCATCGATGAGCACTATTGTTGCTATGGTAACCGACAGTTGATTATCTATTGCTTATTTTTAATGGACACCTGCCAGCCTGCCATTTTCTTTGTCTATGGCACAAGTCACAGGGATTCACAAGCAAGTCCATTACCTGTTGTTTACCAGTCTGGTTGCTAAAAACAGATCTATCTAATGTTTGCTATCAAGGAGAAAAAAAATGGCAGTTTCAGAAGAATTTCCAATACTGTTATTGAAACAACTCTAATCATTGGCATGTGACTTGTTAGCTTGAGAATTAATAATAACTGCTCAAGAAAGTTTGGTCTGATCTTCACATTTAGTCCACTAAGTTACATACCAACTTCAAAATAGTTTTCTGTTTTGCTAAGTTTTTACACTCCATAAGTACCTGATATAAATGCGTCTTTGGAGTTTAAACCAGCCGACAACAAAGGAGAGAGGACGAAAGAGGACAAAAGAGACAGAAAGGTAGAAGGGAGAGACAGACTGAACTAAATGAGAGAAATAGGCTGGGAAAGACGAGAGCACTGGGGAAACTGAAAGTTCAAAGCGGGATATGCATCGAGGCAGATGGCAGGGTGGGAAGTAAGGAGACGGGGTGTAGGACGCGAGATACAGATAGAGACAGACTGCTGGAGAGTGAGAAGAGGACGAGAGCGTTAACTTTGATACGACAGGAGAAAGACGAGAAGAAGTTAAAGGGAGAGGACAGAAACGAAACGGAGAGATAGGGGCAAGGAGCAAAGGCTAGAGAGATGAATGGATATTGGAAAAGACAGAGGTAGAGAAAGAGTGATGTAACCCGAGAAGATAAGAGGGATGGGATGTGGCAGTGCGGGGGGGTCAAAGAATCAGTGCTGTGTTGAGACTCTCAAGGACATTCACAGGAAAAAAGGTCATTTCAGCTAAATATTCTAAGGGGCATGCTCTTCATCCAACTTCTTTGTTTTTGATAATAAATGCTCCTTTCTGATGACATCAGTTGGAAGAGGATTATGACTTCACTCTTCTACTTTGACAACAGTGTAATGCCACCTAAAGGTGGTCAAAGGAATTTTAGGCTTGGGGATTTTCTAAGTTATTAAAAGATTTGAATATTATGTTTTCTCACTTTGACAACATAGTAGATTTAATAAATAGCACTTTGGCATGTCTTGTAGGATTATGATTTTTTTTTCACCAGAAACTGCATGAATGTTCACTGACTTACAAATATACTCCAAGAAAGTATCTCCTCTCTTCACTTACTTGTCACATAAAGCACAAGGGCAGCAGCGTCATCATCAAAGCTAACATCAAAGTCAACGTTTTTTTTTTCTTTTTACTAAGATGGAAATAACTTTTTATGTAAATAAAGTCACACATCCGTTCAAAGTTGACAGAGGAGGAGATCAAAGGAAATTGGCATTTCTTGCCACTCACATGCATATGCACGCACATTATTTGGACTCGAAATGGGGGTGGCAAGCATGGAGATAACTGGGATGGACAGAAGAAGGGGAAAAAAAGGCAGAAAAAATGTTAGATGACATGCATGAGAAACAGAGGTGCTGGGGAGGTTGAGGGGGAATGAGCGGCAGACAGAGAGGAAGACAGAAAGAGAGAACAAACAGTGTCGGGGTAATGGGGACAGGGATCTCGGCCTACTGAATATAGATGGCTCTGGTATGGGACATGAAATATATATGAAACACTAGGTTGACATCTGTATCAGCTGCGTTGAGAGGCATGTTTGAGGAAGCCAGCTCCAGTGGAAAACAGCAAAATGAGAGGTATTGTATTAAGAAAGAAAAGAGGGAGGGAACAGAGAGACAAAGGAAAAGACACGGAGAGAGACATCAGAGCAAGACAAGGATCTTGACAGCATTTGATCCCAGGCCAATGGGGGCACTTTTTTTTTTTCTTTTCTTCTTGACAAGGGCTTTTCCTAAGATGGGGATCAATATTTTATTGTTGTTTCTCGTTGTGCTGTTGATCCTCAGTGTTTAAGTGTTAATCTGAGGTCTTCACTTGGCGTGGTCGTGACAGGGCCCTTGGGACTTATAAACAGAGCAGGGCTACTAACCCCAGTGTCTTGGCTAAAACTCCCATTAGGCCCTCATATGCCCCTTATCCCCCGGGGTCACGGCCCCTACAACTTTTCTGAACCCGTGCACAAAGGCAGTGTTGGTGTCAGGGGTGAGGTCGTTGACAGAAGGATAAAAGCAACAAGTCAGAAAAGATTTTTTATTTATTCTTTTTTTTACTTTAGCTAAATTCTTCCTCTTTTTTTTACCTTAAAAATAGCAATTTTCCCTCTTCCCTAAGTCTTCGGTGAAACTGTATCATACTTGCTGTATGGAACAAATTGCTTTCTTTTCCCAGTCTTTACCCACTATGAAGGGTTGGTCATATTTGGAAGAAAATAGAAAAAATGGTCAAATGTTTCCCCTTTGTCATTCCCAGCTACTCTAGTTAAGTGGCAAAGCAATGTGTTTAGGTGGACTAATAGATAACCCAAATTGATTGAAAAAGATTGAATTGAAATATTTCAAATAATAATTATTTCCATTATCCATATTCAGTTAATTATACGCTTTATCAAGTAACAAATTCTACCTTTTGCTCCTGTCTGTTTGTTGTTGCTAGCAACCAGTGTGATATAAAAAGCAGAAATGTCCACACAGAATATTTAGCTTGTTGCATATCCTGATGTGACTATTGAGCCTTTGTCTGTCTCCAGTTGCTAGGAGCCAGTGTGCACAGAGGGCAGTAATTTAACCACGCAGATATTTCACTTGTTATTAGCCGTTGATATCACTAACACTTAATCTTCTGCCTCTGTCTGTTTCCAGTTGCTAGGAACCAGTATGAGCGAATGAGCAGTGATGTCACCATGCAGTGCGGCTCCCTGGACAATGACGCATCAGTGTCATGGAAGGTGAACGGGACAGACGTGAAGGCCCAGCACCATCTAGAGGGTCCCAGACTGATGCTGACCGGAGTGGACCTCAGCCACAACGGACTGTACAGCTGCTTTCAGAACCCGCACGGAGAGAGACGCGACACCATCTTCCTCCACATCGGCAGTAAGTAGCCAGACAATTGCCCGCTGAATAATATTTCAAATAAGACATGATGAATCTTTAATCATCCCAAAGGGGACACAGTCATTGCAGCAGTAAAGAGTGAAAGGAAAAAGCAGAATAGAAATGACCACGGTGCAATTACAACTCCAACAAAAATGCATGAATTATTAATGAGAAGTTTTATGAGTTTGAACTTGTATGTACTGTAAATGCAAAAGCAAAGACAAAAATAATACACAAAAATACAGAACCTAACAGCTATAATTAAGGGTTGTGACTTCAACCACCATGGAAATGTAATGATTATGTTATGGCTGTTATGGCAGTCCTGCTGGTTGTTGTACCAGCTATGTGTGGGTTTAAACATAGCTTATTGGACGTAGTGGGGATGTAATGTTGTGACTTAAGGCGTTGCACCATACAAGTTACTGACAATGTAAGATACAACTTAAAATGTACACCTCCTCTCAGCAGTTCTTTCATTATCATGTTGTCAGTCGTTGCAAAGATGGTTGGGACTTTGATTCAAACTGGGGGCACATTGCCTTTTAACAAACTACATTCATGTACATTTACAGCGCCAGCGGCATCCAGGCTCAGTATTTCTCTGTGCAGCTACTTTTATTAGACGTAGGTACTAGTGTGATGCTGTTTGATATAGGAATTTCTGCTGGCTCCACTTGGTTGCTTGTAACAAGACATTGTAATTTTTTAGGCGTTGACTTCAGCAGGATCTTTTTACCAAGATGGAAGAATTGCTTTATTCAAAACTTTATCATCGTTGTTGCTCTAGGTAACAAGTGTTCATTCTGGTAGCTGGTGTTGAGCTTGCTAGCTTAAGAGGGGGAGGGCATGTGATTGGCTGAGTGGTGAGAGGGTGGCGACCACTGTCCTAGGAAGGGGCATTATCAATTAAAAAGTACAAATGTTATATGAAATAAAAGCAGACCCTTTGAGTAATATATGAATTATTATTTGTTTGTTGTTTCATTTAAATATTTTCTACAATTTATTCAAGTGATTATTTTTTCACACTTTGGAGTGGCTTTTAAACATATTTACATATTGCACAGTAAAACTGTTTAGCTAATTGACAATTGTAATAGTAGTTAATATTTCAAGAGCAGTTTCATTTCAATTTTAAACACAAATATAAAACTTGAATTGTCATGATAGCAGTCCTTACAGTAGAACCGGCTGCCAGCTGACAAGCTCTAATGATTAGTTGTTAAAATGACATTTGGTCATTTTGCAGTTATGGCTGTGCATTTTAATAATCATACAAAAGCTAAATGAGTGTCAATTTAATGGCATGTCACAGTGGCCCACGAGTTGGCAATGGCCTCCTTTGAGATCCATTATTCTGACGTGGAGATTTTATACACTGGGCCGGTGCATAATAATAATGCTGTTGAGATAGGATAGACTTGTAAATGACAAGTACCCCTGAGGACAATTGTCATGAAAACCGCTTTGTTAAATGTGGTATTTAGCTAAAGTACTCAGGGAGAGAAATCTTTATTTGGTCATTGTTTGAACGTTTTCTCTTAGATGCTTGATTTTGCATGGCTTGTTGTAACATTAGGTAAATCTAATATAAATTACTATTATGAATTAGTACTTACATTATGACTAGTACTTGTGTGCAAAGATTCTACCATATATAGTCAAGTAAACATCATTGTCTTTATCTAAGGCAAAACCAGTATCTTGAGTTTTATTTATATTACATCCACTAATGCGGCAGATTTATTGTGACAACTGCCTCTTCTGATCTGCACCTGAGCCACCTCCTTTCTCCTTCAGTGTGGCTATTTGAATACATCTGTCAATGCAATAATGCTCCATGATTGATGGCAGCCTGTCTATTCTTAAATGACAGGTTTAAGAAAAAACATTTCCTAGTCAACAGTGAATTAATAGTTTTCTTTTTGTGGCAGGAAAAAAAAAAAAAAAGCAGGGATGCACTTCTGCATTATCTCTGCTGGCCAGCATTTCCTCACATTACAGGCTAAGTGATCACTTCCCATCTCCTTCCATTTGAGTCTGTTGGTAGCATAAGAAATAGCAACATTTTAAATTAAATTTCCACAGGAATCATACTGCAGCTGCTAGCTGGCTAGCAGGTGAAATTAGATATCGCTTTGGCATCAGTCATGGCAGGCCACTTCAGAACGATGCCAAAAGTGACACTGTTTGATACACTGCAGAAGAAAAGCCTTGATTCATCATTCCCATGGCTTTGAAAAATATGAGCAAATACCAGTTTTCCTCTTTCTGACAGTATTACATTATATGGAGGCCACCTCAGGTCTAAATCATAGAAAGGTAGATTGAAAGAAAAGTAGACTGGTCCAGTGGAGTCCAAATGTTACCACAGTAAGGGGCTTTGTAATTAATCTTATACATACCATATAAACAAATATATGTTCCTATTTAATCACCCAAACGCAATGTGAGAAATTAAACAAATCAGTAGAGTGACAGAATCACCTTTTTGCAAAAGTGGTCTCCATCAGCTGACCAGGAAACCACACCTGTGTGATTCCATCCACTTGTCAACGGGGCCAATAGAAAGCCAAGCACACCACCCATCAAGATTTCATTCCCAACTGATGTTAAATGTAACATTTCCACAAAAATGTTTGATGAATGAGACTGTATGGGAGTGTGACAGTTTGGTTAATCATATCAGCAATGATGAATTACTGAATGCTGAAATCATACTGAATTAATGAGAGTTTTATGTTAGGGTAGATTATGTCAGCAGGGTGAATGATGCAATGCATAAACAGACCAGAATATGTGTGTGTGTGTGTGTGTGTGTGTGTGTGTGTGTGTGTGTGTGTGTGTGTGTGTGTGTGTGTGTGTGTGTGTGTGTGTGTGTGAGAGAGAGAGAGAGAGAGAGAGAGAGAGAGAGAGAGATGGAGAAGTGTATACCCCATGCCTGTGTGCAACACTTTGGTGGTCTCAAATGGTGTGTGTGTGAATTACATTGTGTAACTATTCATCAGGGGTCAATTACAAGTTTGTGAGAACAATACCTCAGTGGTCTAGCCTGGTTGTGAATATAATTACCTTGATAACAGTTGGCAATTTTATGACATGTTCAAGGCACACACAGGGGTGACTTTAATTCTGCCTTTCAAACTACAGACACTCAGATCATCATCTCATATCCTTCCTCTTTGTCCCTCTTTGTTTAGTTGCCTTTTTCAATCTGCTTTTTATCTGTTATCAATACTTTGCTGTTTCCTGCTAATTCGGTGCTTTCCTCAAATGTTCTTTGTCTTTTCTCTCTCTCTCTCTTTCTCTCTATTTTCTGCATTTTCATTATGTTAACTGTCACCTACAAAACTTTTTGTAAGTGTTGTGCAGATACAGTGATAATGACATCATGACAGGCTACACTTGTTATGATTATCATCATGTTGATAGTTTGATTTTATGCAGTGTTTATTACTCACACCAGGGGCTTGTTATGTTTTACACTGATAGAAGTGTTATCAGGAGAACAGCACAGAACCATCTGTCTGTGCCTTTTTAAATTTTCTCCTTCACTCTTTGTCTCTCTTTTCCTCAGACTTTGTGATTATCTCTCATCTTTATCTTTTTCTTACCCTTTCCTACATCCATTCTTTATTTCCTCTATCATCCCTCTCCCTCTTTCTCTCCGAATCCTCCAGACGTCCTCTCCCCCTCCATCTCTCTCTGTGTCAGTGTTTTGGTTTGTAGTTTATGGCAGCATCTGTTAGCTCTGTGTTTACACTGGTTTGCATTAAGAACAGAGGACGTCATACTATGACCCTCGAACCCAGCTATGTGTATGTGTGCTTGCTCCACCTTCACACCAATTTTATGGAGCCTTTGTGATCTTTCTCCAGGAGTGTGTCAACATAATGTCAGGACAAGGAGACCACAGTTGTGTATATGTGTGTGTTAATTTTTATGTGAAAGTTTAGTGCTGCCGTGATGTCTGTTTCTATTCCCCTTTGCCTTATTCCACCGCTGTATATAGCCTAGCAATAGGATGTTTACATTCTGTCCGTCGCACGCACAAAGAATGCACACAATACTTTAAAAAAACGACAAATTCTCATGAATATCAAATCGTGTGTATGTAGATGGATAAAAGGAAGTACTTTACTAGTGTCCGTGCTTTTGTGTGTGCGTGTGTTAAGCTGATATGCATGTGGCAGGATGTTATTGCCCTATGGTGTTTTAAAAAAAGGTGCCTATCTCATCTGGAAGCAAACACACATAAGCGCAGACCCACAAAAGCACACTCCAACACCAGAGTACTCAAGAGAGTGATGTACAGTTGTAGAGATATGGATGACAGACTGATAAAGAAAAATGGAATAGCATGGACAGTAAACATTTATCATAATTTAACAGGCAAGAGGTCATAAAACAAAACAAAAAAAAAAAAAAAACTTTTTGTGAAACACTTCCTTTGCTGTCACAACAGGAAAGTTATTGCTGTCTTGCCCTTTTCTGTCTTTGTCCATTCTTCTATCTACTGCTGTCTTCAATGGCCGTCAGCTAAACAATTTATAGCATCACAACACGGGCTGCACCCATCCAGTTATTCAGTTATTTTAGCCTCCCAGCTAACACAACGTCAACTGCAGTGAGTCATATATCCAGCCAGTCACCCTGGTAACCTGTCACACAGTCAGCCTGCCAGACACATAGTCTTCCAGCCGAGCCAGTCAGATAGCAGATCTCATAACACCTATTGCACCAATATAGGGTACCGCACCATTTATTTACACCATCACTGAGCAGGTATATATCAAGTATATTATCAAGCTATATTGCAGCGTAAGTAGTATCAGTGCAGCCAGACATCTACTTACAATGTAGCTGTTGACTTTACTCTCTAATATCTAATTAAACGGAATAGTTTGAAGGAAATTCAAACAGAAAAGTTCAGCTAGTGCAGCCAGCAGTTGCAGGGACCTTATGGTTAGCTTGGCTATTTAGCCTGCTAGATA